ATAATGAACAATGACATTCCATTTGGCGGCAAGATTATCATAATTCTAGGTGATTTCAGGCAATGCGCACCTATCGTTCCGTTGGCAGGCAAAAATGAAACTATTTCTGCATCAGTGAAATGTTCCCAACTATGGCAATACTTTGTTCAGTACGATCTTGTTACGAACGTTAGAGCATTGCCACAAGAAAACGAATTCCAAGATTGGCTGAGGACCATAGGAAAATATCCAGAAATTTATCTAGTCGCTTAGAAAATAGCCAGAGACACTATAGTTAAATCCTACTAATCGTATCATTGTAGAAGATGTTACTGAAAGCATATACGTAGTAATTTAACGAACACACGATTTCACATTATTACAAAAAGCGATTTTGTCTCCACTAAACATTCATGTCAAGGATATCAATTCAGTTGTTTTAGAAAAACTGCCAGGTAGGTCACGGCAATACCTAAGTGTCGATAGTATTATCCGAGAAGACGATACAACCGAAATGCTGCTGATGATTTAGATTCCGCATGGCCGCAAGACTTTTTAAATTTCTTTGGATGCTCCAGGACTTCCTCCCCACATACTTACACTAACTAGATTGGCGCAGTTATCATTTTAACGAAGAATTTAGATGTGAAGAGAGGCTTATGTAACGGCACACGTTTATTGATTCATAATTTACACGAAAATTTATAGAAGCGAAACGAGTGGAAGAATCTAATAATGAACCTTCGATCGAATTATTTCCAGAGTTGATAATATCGCTCTAAATTCTCTTGATCTACCAGTCAACTTGAAAAGGAGACAATTCCCTGTACGTCTGGCTTTTGCAATGACAATTAATAAAAGTCAAGGTCAACTTTGAACAGGGTCGGCTTATTTTTACCAGTAACAGTATTTGATCACGGACAACTGTATGTTGCACTATCAAGAGCAAGAAGTTTTGAAAACCTCAAGATTCAAATGATAAATATAGGTGACCGTCAACATGTAGCTGAAACTCCAAATATCACTCTTACACTGTTAACGTAGTATATAATGAGCTATTGCAAAGCAGCATAATCCAGTAAAATGAAGAGAAATAATAAGAAATTCTTTCTTGGACAAATATACAATATGGAATGTAGATATATTCAAAGACCATTGTACTCAAGCGCTACAAATGCAAATACATAAGGAAATAGAAAAAGGTTGATCTAACTATAAAGTACACATAAATGGTAGTGGAGGAACCATAATTTCACAAGCAAAATCAGGTTACCATATGCTATTCTGTGTATTCATACTTACTACAATACTAATGGTGTCAAATAAGGACTTTTATGTAAGTTATACAAAATATTTTTCACAAATATTCTTCTGAACATCTTATTGTACATTTTAATCCCTTTTTTTAGATGAATCGTTAAAAAAATAAACTATGCAGGAATATGAACGATGAACTACAAGCTACAAACTACAATATTAATACTGAAAAAAGGATGCATAGTTTGCAACAACAGATGGAGATAGTCCGAGAAACTTTTCAATACAAACTGCAGATTAGACCAATCAACAATCTTTCCATTTTTAGCTTTATTTTTCAGTTTATTTAAAATTATACAATATGGAATGTAGATATATTTCAAAGACCATTGTACTCAACCGCTACAGAAGCAAATAACATAAAAGAAATAGAAAAGGTTGATCTAACTATAATTACAACATAAATGGTAGTGGAGGAACCATAATTTCACAAGCAAAATCATGTTACCATATACTATTCTGTGTATACAAACTACTAATGTGGTCAATACAGGACTTTTATGTAAGTTATACATAATTATTTTTCACAAATATTCTTCTGAACATCTTATGTACATTTTAATCCCTTTTTTTAGATGAATCGTGTGAAAAAATAAACGATGCAAGGAATATGAACGATGAACCTACAAGCTACAAACTACAATATTAATACTGAAAAAAGGATGCATAGTTTGCAACAACAGATTGAGATAGTCCAAGAAACTTTGTCAATACAAACTGCAGATTACACCATCAACAATCTTTCCATTTTTAACGTTATGTTGTCAGTTATGTAAAATTATACAATATGGAATGTAGATATATTTCAAAGACCATGGTACTCAACAGCTACAGAAGCAAATAACATAAAGAAATAGAAAAGGTTGATCTAACTATAAATTACAACATAAATGGTAGTGGAGGAACCATAATTTCACAAGCAAAATCATGTTACCATATACTATTCTGTGTATACAATACTAATGGGTCAAATAAGGACTTTTATGTAAGTTATACAAAATATTTTTCACAAATATTCTTCTGAACATCTTATTGTACATTTTAATCCCTTTTTTTAGATGAATCGTTGAAAAAATAAACTATGCAAGGAATATGAACGATGAACCTACAAGCTACAAACTTCAATATTAATACTGAAAAAAGGATGCATAGTTTGCAACAACAGATGGAGATAGTCCAAGAAACTTTTCAATACAAACTGCAGATTTACACCATCAACAATCTTTCCATTTTTAACTTTATTTTTCAGTTTATTTAAAATTATACAATATGGAATGTAGATATATTTCAAAGACCATTGTACTCAACCGCTACAGAAGCAAATAACATAAAGAAATAGAAAAGGTTGATCTAACTATAAATTACAACATAAATGGTAGTGGAGGAACCATAATTTCACAAGCAAAATCATGTTACCATATACTATTCTGTGTATACAATACTAATGGGTCAAATAAGGACTTTTATGTAAGTTATACAAAATATTTTTCACAAATATTCTTCTGAACATCTTATTGTACATTTTAATCCCTTTTTTTAGATGAATCGTTGAAAAAAATAAACTATGCAAGGAATATGAACGATGAACCTACAAGCTACAAACTTCAATATTAATACTGAAAAAAGGATGCATAGTTTGCAACAACAGATGGAGATAGTCCGAGAAACTTTTCAATACAAACTGCAGATTACACCATCAACAATCTTTCCATTTTTAGCTTTATTTTTCAGTTTATTTAAAATTATACAATATGGAATGTAGATATATTTCAAAGACCATTGTACTCAACCGCTACAGAAGCAAATAACATAAAGAAATAGAAAGGTTGATCTAACTATAAATTACAACATAAATGGTAGTGGAGGAACCATAATTTCACAAGCAAAATCATGTTACCATATACTATTCTGTGTATACAATACTAATGGGTCAAATAAGGACTTTTATGTAAGTTATACAAAATATTTTTCACAAATATTCTTCTGAACATCTTATTGTACATTTTAATCCCTTTTTTTAGATGAATCGTTAAAAAAATAAACTATGCAAGGAATATGAACGATAAACCTACAAGCTACAAACTACAATATTAATACTGAAAAAAGGATGCATAGTTTGCAAACAACAGATGGAGATAGTCCGAGAAACTTTTCAATACAAACTGCAGATTACACCATCAACAATCTTTCCATTTTTAGCTTTATTTTTCAGTTTACTTAAAATTATACAATATGGAATGTAGATATATTTCAAGACCATTGTACTCAACCGCTACAGAAGCAAATAACATAAAGAAATAGAAAAGGTTGATCTAACTATAAATTACAACATAAATGGTAGTGGAGGAACCATAATTTCACAAGCAAAATCATGTTACCATATACTATTCTGTGTATACAATACTAATGGGTCAAATAAGGACTTTTATGTAAGTTATACAAATATTTTTCACAAATATTCTTCTGAACATCTTATTGTACATTTTAATCCTATCAGCTACGACTTATTTACCAAAAACCATATCATATTTATAAGATATAAACAGTTTTGTTGACAAAAAATGTATGTCCATTTACGTTTTTTAGATGAATCGTTGAAAAAATAAACTATGTAAGGAATATCAACGATGAACCTACAAGCTAAAAACTACAATATCAATACTGAAAAAAGGATGCATAGTTTGCAACAACAGATGGAGATAGTCCGAGAAACTTTTCAATATAAAATGCAGATTACATCATCAACAATATTTCCATTTTTAGGTCTATTTTTCAGGTTATTTAAAATACTAAACAACAAAACAATATATGAAAAAGCAAACCCCACTTGATTAATGAGCATCAATATTAGATCACAAAAATTACGAACGCTCACATTTGGAAGGTCTAAAATCTGGGATTATATGTTGTCTGCTATTTACCATAATGCTAATGTAACAGAAACAGCTTGGAAAAATAAACCTTATAAAGAAGAAAAACTCGACTTAACCATAAACTGCCATATTAATGCTGAGAAAAAGACAACTTGGAAGCAAACTATAATAGGAAAAGATGACAATCAATCATGTTTTTCCAAAAACAGATGGAAAATGCAATCTATATCATCTGCATTTTCTCCATTTTCAGGTTTCTCTTTCAGTAAAATTAAAATTACAAAACAAAGACACAACAGAAAGAAAATCCACTTAAATAGTGTTTACGCATTATTATAGCAAACCATATATCTATACAATTACAGAATGGATACTAATGTCTGAAACATCTGACGTAAGTTTCTTTGATATAAGATATTGTTCTGAAAACATTCATGTACATTATTTTAGTGGTATCAACTATATTTTTTCACAAACACAGATATTAAATATTCTAAGAATCTGACATTTTAACAAAAGTCCTGCATTATAATTTTTTTTTCAGATGACATGATGGAAAATGAATCATATGAAAAAGGGCTATGATCTACCTAGATAATTTTTGCAATATGAATACTGGAAGAAGAATAACTTAGGAAACATAGTCTAATGAGAAACAATAATAAACACTGGCAATCATTTTTTGCGAAAATAGATGGAAAATACAATTTTCCGTTACCAATTTTTTCAGTATACTTGAAATTATAGAACAAGGAAACAAAAAATCAATGAAATAAATAACAAACAAGAGAGCGAAGTAGTAACTTAGATGATACATTAAAGTTTTGGTAAATGGTTTTTTTTTGGTACAAATTAAGAAGCAAATTTAATGTATGCAAGGATTATAAAAACACCTAATTCAACAACCATTTACCATTTGTTCAATTAATATTTATTTACTTATTTAGATTTCCTTTTTTCAGATATATATTATTCATAGTCGTTTTGTATTTGTTTTCAATTTTTGAATAATCAGATTTTACGTTTAATTTTTGTGCGTCTTACAGTTTCATTTTTTTTTCTTTTTGTAATAAGTATTTATCATTTTATTGAAACTGAAAGACGGGTGGAAGGAGGGTGGGACTCGACTTGCAGCTACCTCCGCGCGGTGAGTCCTGGTAGTCCGAACATGGACTAGCTGAGAGCTGCAAATTAATCCTTTTCATCTAACATTAATCAGTTACAGATCACTGTTTTAATTATTTCTGTTTAATGATGATAAATGTTGAAAAATGTTGATGTGAATTCTACTTTGCAACCTGTTCAGAAGTAGAAATTGTCACGCCACTATGGACGATCTCTCTACAAAGAAATCAACAATATTCCTCGCAGTCCCTGTCCGCTGTATTGATAATAAACTATAGATAAAGGATAACTTTAAAAGCAAACTTTAATGAAAACTAAAGGCAGTCAGGTAATTTTTTTTTTCCAAAAACAAAAACGAAATGCCACTTACTAGCAATTTACTATATAATCTTGCCATTTCAGATTCTTTCTACAGTATATTTAAAATTGTAGAACACATAACTATATAAAGCAAAACAGAGTCCACCTAAATAATATGTACCCATTAGTAGACTATTACTATGTACAACTACAATACTACAAAATTATCACATCAACATAGTAAAATCTGATAATCAAAAATTTTTATGTAAGTTATTTAATACACATATACTCCTAGATATAATTTTATATTTAATAAATTTTTTAGGCATTTAATATCTTCACGCTGATGTTAGATCCTAAGCGAATTATACTTCGACGATGATAGAAAAATGCCATTCAAAAATATCAATTGTTATAAAACCTAATAGACTTTACAATGAATACATATATCATTCTTATTATCACTTTTCCAATTTTCTTATATTAATTGTTAGCTGTAAAATCTAATAAATTGTAATTTTCAAAATAAATCAATATATAATTGAATATCACTTGTTTAATTTCCTTATCCTTATACTGTATATACTTTCAGCTTAAAAGAAAATTCGTCAAATTGTTTTCAACAGTCACAATTTTACGAAATATTAATATTTCAGATCACATCGTACCGCTATTAAAATTTATTTTGACAATAGAAATTTTCCATCTGCTAAAACAGATTCTGGTGTTTATTGTGTCACTAGAAGATACACTTACTATCCTCAAGGCGTACAAATTTCTTTTGAATAATCACTACCTAACTTATAGAGTAAATGATTTTCTTTTAAGCAAGGTATTGCTATACCAAGAACGAAAAATCCTTATAATTTTTAGAAATCGATTCATTGATAGTGAAAAAAAAAGAAGTAAAAATTGCTCAACCTCATTCTTTGACGTTCAGAAGTTCTGATCTTTTGAAAATACTTTTAAACGTATAGAATTAAAAAAATGGTAGAAGGATAGGGAAAGGTAGAAGTAACATACAGTATATAGCATTTAATTAACACACTAAAACAACTAGGCAATTAAGGGCGCTATCATCAATAGTTCCTACAATTGTCTCGTAAAACGCTATTATAACCTTCATTTTCATACTCTTTTCTATCCTTCAAAAAGGTTTATGTATTAGATTTCTACTGTTCCATATCATTGCCAGGGCTGTCCTATTGTGAGGTTGTTTTATTTTAATGATACGAAATTTCAGGCTAATAAACATAACCTGAAAATAAAGCGCTGACACGGAACAACAGAAACGTTTCTGAAAAACTGTACAAACTATAATCAAATTCAAGCGGATAACCAAATGGAAATGGTATTTACCATTTTGGATTGGTATTTACCGATCGGTTCAACCGAGTGTAATTATCAATTGGTTATAAGATCCGTGACGTCACGAATCAGCTGTTATATGTCATAGTTATCACCGCAAAATTGTGGTATTTACCCAACTTAAAAGTAGTTTTATATTTCTGATTATTATTTGAAATGTGACCAGTTAGAATTTTGCCGAGTATTGGATATTATTATTGTACTTCAGCTTCATTTTTGAGAACATTGATACAGGCTGACTTCAGTTTTACCATACAGTGGAGCACCTTATTAATTTATACTCATTATTGTTGGGAGCACTTTAATGTAGTTCTTATGCTTAACAAACTATCCTGTGTAGCCATTATACCACAAGAATATTAAAATATGGCCATATAAACTGACTAGATGATATCCACCTGTATACGCTTTTGCTAATTTCTTTTTTCATCATTTCTGCTGAATCAATAAATGTTTTCCTTTGACACGCGGAAAAATTTAGAGAATTGAAGTGATCATAGCTTCAAAGCCATGGTTCCATCATTAAAAAAAAAATCTGAAAAAAACATTTCTCCCATGAATATTATGACAGGTTTCTTATTTAAACTTTCCATATACAGTTGTAAACGAAAAAAGCACCAATTATTAAGTGATAATAAAAATAATCAGAAATCATATACGCGCTTTTCTTAAATAAACAACTTGCAACAAACCGCGGTTTTAAAACCAATGCGTTCAAGCGATTCGTGTAACTGACGTCATCTTGAATCATATTATAACCGCGGCACATAACACAAACATTGTGGTTATTCCCTTGGATTTGATTTATGACAATTAATAAGGTCATAACAATTGTAGAAACGATTGACCCCACAGCCCTAAAACATAGAGAATAGTAGGAGATTAAAGAGGGTTTTCTATTTTCACTGTCTATAGTCTATATTCTCCGAAGATAACAAAGATACGGACTTGGCGGCTTTTACATAAGAAAGCTCATACCTCGGATTCAAATCTGCAACTGTTTTCATCATTATTCGTTTCCATTGAAAATTTTAGATATTTTAAATTACTCCATCAAGGCGCGTGATACCGAAACATCTAAAACGTACCATTTTCGGCTTTATGACGATCACTCCATCCATATTGGATTATACCGATAAGTATTATCCTTTTTAGGCGTGAAAGTAAATATTTTTGAATAGATTTAAAATCTCTATATTCTAAACATACCGGACTATAATGGTAATAACAGTCAAGTACGATTTGGCAACGTTTCAATGTTTACCCGCAACTAGGCAACTTGAAATTTAGGAGTTTATACAAGTCATTATCGGCTCTAAATATGATTGTAAACCCTAATAGTGCCACAATTTTACATGACACTTAATTTTAATCCACTCTAAAGAGACCAAAAGTCTACAAGATTAAATATAGCTGTGTATTTATAACAGCCAAGTGGTTGCAACAGTCGTTACAGTTACGCGTATGTCTTGTTGCATACACAAAACACGTTACTTAACCTTATACTCAAAGAGGTGAACTCATATGAGCGAATGGGAAAACTAAGCACTACTATGGATGCACAATATGACAACCATGTCACACCTTCTAAAAATTGTCTGATTGGTCAGATTTAAATTTCCGAAGGCTTCTTTATGGCGCTATACAAAGGGATGAAACTCATGAGCGAATGGGAAACAAAGCAGTGTTGTGGGTGCACAATATGACAATCATGTTGTACCCTCAAAAAATGTGCCGCTTATTCACAACTGACGTTGTCTGATTGGTCAGATTCAAATTTCTAGTAGATTGCTTCCTATAGCTGTGTGCTTTGCAAAAATAACCTTACTTCGCAAGCCATTTTCATTTCTTCTAACATAAACATTTCATTTTGATTGAATAACGTCCCTATTATATTATTTGAGACATGTGCCTTTTGTTCAGAATTGCGAAGTATAAACATGTAAATACCCACAGTTCTAATATATTTGTAAATACTATAAGACAAACTCCAAATCAAACTTTAGTATTGGTAAGATGTTTCCAGTCAATAGATAGGCTTCTGGAAATGCTGAGGAAGATCAGAAATGCAGCAGTTACTCATTTGAGAAGTGTAACATTTGAAGATCATACCTGTTGAAATCTCCGTATAACTTTTTGAACAGAAGAGTTTAGCCACCGGTGTCAACCCCTGAGATCCTGAGAATTATCAGAAGCTCGGAGATTACTTGTGATCTAACCTAAAGGCACAGCTCTGAAGGAGATTTGCAAACAATATTTGTAAGTTTTTATATGACTCAATAACCAGTGATGATTTATACTGCTTTTTGTCGAAAACAGTTTCCACACTTCATTTCAAATCATCCATTCTTAGAGCAGCAGGGTTGATATGCAAAGCTGACTATAATTTCAATGCCATCCAAGCCATATGTTATTGAACAATAACATGGATGCCCACAGGGCAGTGTCAGATGGGCTATGCTCTCTTTTGTAAATCCACCGGAACTTTAAATACTCAGTATAACAGCAACTTGATATAGATATTTTGCTAAACTATGATATATATTATTTTTGGAAGAGAACATTAAGTTTCAGATCATTATTTGAAAAGAACTTCAAACATTCAGACGTCTTGTAAACTAAACAATGCCTGGACAAATCAACTGATAATTCATAAAAATGATGGAACAGCAGAATGTATGAAATTTTTTCTAATCAATAAAAATACATCTTTATAACATAGCTTTCTGAACAATCAGAGAACTACAGGGTGATTCTTAATGGTTGGGGGCAATCAATGTGCCCATTGATAATTTTTGTACAAGAAAAGTAAGGAAAATTCCAAACTGAAGGCCTTTTCTACATTTTTTGCAGTTATAACTTGGCGCCAAGTTAGAACAGCATTTTGTTTATATTACATAACCTTCGTTATGTGCACCAGTATAATTTTTACGTTGAATAACTGTTAATAATGCTTTAATATAACTATACTATTAAATCTATATTGTTTACGTATGATGGGTGTTAATAAAATATGTAGACATACTTTAACCATCGAATGCTTGGTCAATTTAAAAACGAAATTTCCATATGAACATGGACAGCTTTGTTTTCAACGCAAAGCATATTAGCACTAAAAGAAATATTGATGTTCTAAGAAATTATAAAAGAATAGAACAAATTTGGTGTGGTGAATACCACATAATTACAGTTGTTTTCAGATCCTCCACATACGTAGATACGGATAATGTTATCAGTGTTTTTTGAAAAAATAGCATAACTATGATTTGTTTTAATCTCAATACTTTTCATATAATGACATTTGGGAATTAACTTTCAGAAACATAATTTTTCTTTTCATTATGTTGTATTTTCTAGGTTAGAAAAAACCTATGACATTGACTTAACATCACAAAACAAAAAGCATTTACACTGAAAAAGAACAGTCAGTCCCGTGCTGTCCATAGGCGAACACGATTGATTTATGGCAGTCAAGCGCTTTTTTTTTTTTTTGGCACATCACCTGATTGCCAGATATATATGCAACGTTGCCTGCTCCTCACTTAAATCTGAGTTTATTATACAATTTTTGTAGAGGACATAAATGCTGTATGCTATATTTTATAACGCCATCTGTGTTATTAACAACGACAGATGCGACGTTTCCGGCTCCTCACATAAATCTGAGTATGTTATACAATTTTATAGAAGGTATTTTAATGCTATATGGAAGATGTTAACTGACAACTGATAACTCACAACAGATAATGTCAGATGTCAGATACCAGATAACAGATCAAAGATGATAAAGGATAAAAAATCATTAGAGATAGAGACAAAGTATATCATTAACATTGCATTAGCATACCAGCAACTGCACTATGTGAGGTTTTAAGTAAAGACATCAACATACAATATTTAGCATAGCGTTGGCATGCTAGAAACTGCGCTACGTGAGGTTTTAAATAAAGACATCAACGTACAATATTTGGCATAGCGTTAGCATGCCAGAAACTGCGCTATCGACTATATTAAGCGGTGATCGATTGTTTTAAGGAAGAGGTCACGTGACGTTAGAAATTTTGGGCGGGGCGACGTCGACGCGGTTTTTCCGGTTTTTAGGAGGTTCGCGAAACGTTCGGAGGGAAAGAGGTACCGTTTCGGAAAGTAGAAACTCGGCGCTTTACGGGCGGGCGAGAGCCGT